GGGAAAGCAGATAGCTTTAAAACTGAGGGACTAGTTTGCGTAGAAACGGACAGACGGACGGACGGACGGACGGACGGACATGGCTAGATCGACTCTCCTGGTGATGCTGATCAAGAATATATATCGGAAATGTCTCCTTCACTGCGTTGCAAACTCTTTACTGAAATTATAATACCCTCTGCAGGGGTATAAAAATGGATCAAAAAGATAAAAAACCAATTTTTTTACAAGGTCGGAGAACTTACAATCCTTTGCAAGAGTATAAAAACATGTTAAAGAAAATGTGTATAGATCTCTATGACTGAATGAAACTAATTTAGACTGTATGTATTTATTTCGAAAAATAACCTTAAGAACCATTAATAAAAAATGGGTAACATCGTATAAAAACAATGCCAAATATTATTTTATTTATTTTATATCTTAGAAGTTAAAGGATCTTTACTTGTATTTGTATTTATTAGCTGCAACGTTCAACAAAGTCTTTTTGAGATCAAATTAGATAAAACTGTTGAAACTTTTCTCTTAAATAAATAGCTGACCCTGGCTGAAACTTGAAGGCTAACACAAATGACTTTCCCGATCCCGTCTTGACCCAAGACCCTAATGAGCCAGCGGTGGCAGTTTATGAAGTGCCAACATCTGATTCTTATCCAATTAGCGGGGCTGCCAGACGACACGCTGCGTTTACGCCAGGACACAGACAAACTTTCCCCCAAAGGATGTGGTAGAATGAAAACACCAATGCAGGGGTATTTGCACTCAGAGAAACAAAATAAAAACTATCTTTATACTCGTTTTCTATTTCTGAACAAGATTTAATATCAGATAATTTTTTGTAAAAATAAATATATTGAATTGAAAGCAAGTACGAACGCCTTAATGAATATAAATATAAATATAAATATAATTTAAAGGGTTTACTTTTCTTTTAATATTTCTAAGAAATATTTGTTTACCCCTGAGCAACTCTGCTGGCATATGGTTAATAAATACAAGCTAAAAATTATTATTGATTGAAGCTTTAATAAAATGGTTTCCAATATCTAAAAAACGATTTTTTAAGTGTAAGTGGCATGGCAAAAACCAAACTCCGTTTTGTATTTTCCGGTAGGGAAAGGGCCCACAACAAAAAGCAGCACACAAAAAGTTGAACAGTTGAACCGGCAGCAAACAGCAAGTGGCAAAAAGTCAGCTGGAAAATGTGTTAACAGGTTAAAGTCACGAGTGAACCCGCCGTGGCTTTAACCAGCTTAGGCCACACTTAGACTCGTTAACTGATTTTCTGAAATGTGATTTATTGACTTGACAGTGGCCCCAGGTGCTGGGCTGCATCCATTTTTTCTGGACACTTCCGCAATTACTCCCGACACTCCAAAGTGTTTGCAGCAGGTCAATAACAATTTTGCCTCTATTGCCTGAACTTCCCGCCGGATAAGTGCACATAATTTGAGCGGAAGGATCTGGGGTGCTCAGTTTTTAATTACAGGTATTCAGCTGGCCATATCCAGGGGCGATTCCTTCTCGGTTGAATAGTATGAGAAAGGAGGCAGGATGAGATACGCACTTTTCTCGACCGGATGCCGGCTGACTTGTCTGCAACCCCAAACAAAAAGTGGAACAACAGAGGGACGAAACTCCAGAGGAAACTCCGGCCTTTTGTATTCGTCCTGTGCCAGTTCCACAGTCTACTGCTTTCATTAGACCTGGCCAAGTGGCGTTCACGGACTCGGAATTAAATTGCATTTACAGGCGCACCTCTTTTGCAGCTTCTCCACTCTGGATTCTGCGCTAATGGTGTTACATGACTTGGGGCCATTGCGCCATTATTATTATGGTTATTATGATTACTCTCGGCCTTCAGCCATTTCATGCTGGAACATTCTTAAGCGCCACCAAATTGTTGCTTAGCTTGGCTTAGGCCAAAACAAGCAAAAGCCTGTTCGCTTACTAAGTGAAATGAGCTGTATTTAATTTAATGAAAATTAAACCATAGGAAAATCCGGGTATAAAATACCCTTGAGTGGCAATTATTAATATGGCAAGCAGGACTTTAAATTAAATTTGATGAGTAGCTCCTAAATTAATTAGACAATTATGGAGGAGAATGTGCAGATAAGTTTATTAAATTTCATTTGCTTATATTTAGGTCTGGCTTGTCTCTTCTTTATGTGGCTATTAACTTATAGTTTTTTTTACATTTTTTGCACCGATTTCAGCTAAAGAAAATGCAGAAAAATGAATTGTGTGTTCAGGATTTAATTAACGGAGCCTATGGAGCGGCCATTTGGCAAATTAGCATGTTTCAGCCGTCAGGACACCTGAGAAAAGCTAATGTTTTTGGCAGTTACCATATTACATGTGTTACCGATTACATGGCGGCCTTAAATTCCTTACAGGAAGTGCATGACCAGTGTTGGCATCATGCCATGCCACACGTCACAGTTACGAGCAAGCCGGAATAAAACTTGGCCGTAAACTTGGCACACGTTGAAAATAACTTTTTTAATAAATGGGCATGTTAACCTTACTGACTATTTGCCAAATCACAAGAGAACGTCTTTTAAAAAAGGTTTTGTTAAATATTCTTTTGATTTTATTTTCAAAAAAAAATAGTATTTCACTTTCAATAATTTTGCCCTCAAGTGGTTTAGCTAAAAGTTTTGAAATAAATGTATTTTATTTTGTCGATATATTTTTTTATTTTTTTTATTTTAATCACAATTTTAATTTGAATATTTTTGATCTTTCATAAAGTCAATAAATAAGGAACCAGACTTCTTGAGTACACAAAAAATAACCCAACCATACCTACACCTAAAATTAACTTGTCAAAGGTGACCAATTTCTCAAATATTCGCTTGCTCAGGTGTGACCACAATCATGTGAACCATTTTAATGGACAACTGGCATGTCAACTTGCCATTGCACTTTTGCATATTTAAGATGCTTGTTGAGACATTTCCGCTATAATTGATTATCGCAACACGAAACATAAAGTAACGCGAATGGTCTGAAGGAAGTAGCTTAATCTTACCCGGTAGAATAATTACCCAATATTTTTTTTTTCTCGATTAAGTTGCATGTGCAACCTGATTTGCATGTTAATCAAAGGAAATTCGTTGCATGTTGCTAGGGGTAGAGTTCACTTTTTTTTTAGCTTTCATTGGAATGTATTGTTTGTTATTTTTCATTTGGCATGCGCAAAATGCAGCTAAGTTAAGTTGTTCGAGGGCCTATAGCCTGTTTGCTACGGATTGCTTATCACTTGCTTATCACATGCAGCGACGATCATCGGTTGCACCTTCCATCTGGGCTCAATGCCGCCCGCTATCCGAATGCAGTTGAGTTCTAGGTGGGATTCACTACTTGGTCACTACTTTGGCTAGTCAGTGGCTAGGGGCTTAAGTCTATGATTAAAATGGCTCTTCACTTACCGCGCCAGTTGGTGGGGATATATTTTGTGGGCTTGTTGATTGTAGTCTTGGTTTTTGTTTTGTTTTTTTTTTTTTGGTTAGAATTATGAGAGAGAAACGGTGGCTAACTAACTGATTACTAAGTAAAAGGACTAACTTTAGGTTGCTGGGATTTGAGGCCCAGTTCGGGTTGAGTGTTGATTGAAGAGCAGGTCCTCCGGATGGGGAATGTTGATTGATGATCTTGTCTCTCTTTTTTTGGGGGGTTGCTCCATCCTCACACGTACTCGAATTCTCACAGTTTGCTTGATATCTTTGCTCACTTGGAAAAGTGTTTGCCTTACAATTGCTTACAATCTACTTAGGGTTAGGCTAATGGGCTGGCCAATTGAGCTTCAATAGGGGTTTTCCTTTTTACAGTTTGTACTCTTGGTAATTAATTTCTGCATTTTACATGGGTGCATATCTCGCCTGGTGCTCGGTTTATGCCTAGGACCTAGGACTACTAATAGTGGTTAGGCATAAACTAACTGGTATACAATGTGTGTGTAGTTTCGTTAACTGTTAATTATTGTTAATGTTATTGCTTGGAAACTGTATCATTTAAGCTAAGAGAAATTCTTTGTTTTCGATTTACGTATACTTTGATATTAGCAAGACTTTATCGTATAACTACTTTTGGTTATTTATAAGTGATTAAGTTTTGTAGGTAATTACTGGGTAGCTTGTGGACCCTGTGTTTAGCTGTTTTCTTCTACCAAATATATGCAATTGTATCGAACTCCTTTCCTGGCTTTGGCTATATAATACCATATGTTAATATTTAATTATTATTGTATGTAGCTGGGCAAGACTGTTTAAATGTAGTATTTTTAAAAAGAATTTCTACTTAGTTATTGTTATTGGATTGCTTGAGTTACGTATACGTTTGGTTACTTAAGTCTAGAACGGTACAAGTGCTGTCTGAAATGCTCTGCCTTAAATCTAGGATAAACTTAGTCTATTAGCATTATGCTATGGAGTATTTTCCTACGAATATTACTTAGTTTGGTGTTGTTTCTTGCAGTTACTTTGCTTCTACTTAGCGAAGGAAATAAAATATATTCTAGCTTACATTTTCATAGCGTAGCAAACACTTTTACTCGGTGATGTTCTCTTATTTCTCTCTCTATTTCTCTAGTTAATATTTGTATTTTGCTTTTACTTGATGGGTTCAAAGTCCATTGGCAAACGTTGCAAAATGAAAGCTGATATTTTAGGATGATTGGCTAGTTTAACTTTACTCTAGATTTGCTTTGGGCGTGATTATTTAAGGGCATTTAAAACTGTTTCGAACTAACTTAAAAACTTTTAAAAACTCATGACTCATTTTTGTTTTTGTTGATTGCAGACATAGCAGAGAAGTGTTGATGTGTGTTGCTGATGATATGCATATCAATTGGTTGGGTTTTGGTTTTGATTTCTCTGCAATTCTTTGCTCGTCTTCGATCTGGTGTTTTGGATTAACCCTTCCTCTTTCTCCACTTTCTCTCTTCCTCCCCCATTTTGTGTTGTTTTTGTTTTGTTTTATGGGGGGAGGCTTACCTAGGGGATGCGGGCGGAAGCGGAAGCGGTGGCGGCGGCAATGGCGGCGGCGGTGCCCGCACATCCGTCTCGATATTCCGCTTGTGCGGCGTCTGCAAGTCCAAGGCCGCATAATGCGAATGGGCGTGGCCATGCCCATGGGCGTGGGCGTGGCTGTGCATATGCCCATGACTGTGTGGGTGGCCCACGCCCAGCGGCGACTCCCGCGGCCTCAATGTTGTGGGCGGTCCGCGGAAGAGGGCGTACGGATTGCCGAAATAATCCTGTGACGTCGCCATCATTTTGGCCCTGGCTGAAAGCACATAATAAATGGGTAGGGAAAACAATTAGCTCGCAATTGACAAATTATGACAGGGCAGCAGCGTACAGCTGCTGAAATTAAAAGCAAACATTGAGCGATCGCTGGCATGTCAATAAAGCATTTTTATAGCCACCGATTGCCTCCGACTAAACGATGGCATGTGAACGGGTGCACTTGAAAAAGTTTACTTCAAATACATCCTTATTTAAAGGACACCTTTAAAATTCGATTTTTTTTAAATTCCCATAATATAATAAAGATCTTTGTCAATTGTTTTTTTTGTTCGAAAGACAAAGAGAAAAGTGGTCAAATTAATTTTTAATATTAAATAGCTACAAAGTTATTTTAAGTTTCAAAATGTTTAAATCAAAAATATTCAAACATGTACTTTGGATAAGGCCATATATCTTTTCAAACACAATTTTTTCCCTTTTAATTCTTAACTTTTGTTTACTTTAAAACAAAAACTACATTTTTCTAAACTGGAAACCATTTGAATTTTTTTAAGATCATGAATCCACTCAAACCAATTAATGAAATCGTTATTTTTTCTTACTGTGGCTCATGCCCTTTTTCCGCAGAAATCATTTCAATGCCTTTGTCAGTGTCCATTCATGTTTTTTAATTTAATAGTCGTGTCATGTAAATGGGCCCTGCACGCGACTGCATTTAATTCCGGTTGTGAAATGAAATTATTTAAACATGTTCGCCGTGATTGATACCCATTCCCCGTCCGAGGCCCTGTGCCAGGACCTGTCCTTTAACCCTCTCCCGTTGGGCGGTGCAGATGCAGTACACATGTCGGACACACCATAATTGACAGCAGAGGACATGCCACGAGCGGACTACACATGTAATTAAGTGCCGGATTGTCGCTTAAAGTGCCGGCAATTGCGACGAACGCGTAACGAGGCGACAATGGCCATCGGCTTTTGGCGTGAGAGATATCAGAAATCCGTTGGTTTAAGCCGAAGACAAGTGCCAATTAATAATTATTAATTTATAGAGCCCATGAGAGTCAGTAAACATTTATTAAATTTAAAACACTTATTGAATAGTTTGAATGGAGCACATAAAAAACCCTAATGATAGCATATAGTTTAATATTTTGTCTTCTTAAAATATAACTTATTACTGTAAATTACTAAATTTAACATACAAAAAAAATATCAATTTTATATAAGAAACATGTGACGAATCGGAGTAGTCAATCATTTTTGTTTTTATATAATTTATTTAATTTATAGTACAGACTAAACTATTATCAAAGTCAAATAAAGTTTTTGTAACTTCAATAGAAGCAAATAAACAAGTTTAATAACAGAAAATATGCTCCGTCTTAGATATGAAATCCATTAATTGATGTTTGTAAAGGCAATTATTGAATTACAGGTCTGCATCACCATGAATTGGCATTGCCAATTACATAGAACAATTAGGGCTCACAGCAAACACAAATTCCTGAAAATCAGGCAATCCCAACCCACATTCTCCTCCTGTGCTCATGTAAACATAACCGGCTCATTATTTCCCGCCCATCAAATCGACCAACACTTGAAGTCACTTGCAATTAAATGCTTACACTGCGGTCCGAGTAAAAGCCCCGCCCCCGAGATCCCCATCCTTCCTTCCTTCCAATCCAAGCCGACTTTACACACTCGACGTGTTTACGCAATTTCCAACCAATTGGCATCAAGTGGCAAACACATTTAAGCCACATTTCGCAGAATCCAACCTCTGATTCCATTTCTCAGCCGCAATTATAGCGCCCGAAAAGGGAAAATTGCACAACAGTAAATGCACAGCGGTGTGATGACCAATGCGAGTGCCGGATTTTTTGTTTTAATGAACTTTTCCTTCGCGCTTTCCTTGCCATTTTCCACTGGGTTTTTGCATAATTTACCGCGACAACGACAGCTCAAGTGCTGACTGATTTTCTACCTGGCTGGCTGGGTGGCTGGCGAGACGTCGAAATAAAAAAATCGAGTCGATGATGGCTGCTTTTAACTTTTGCATAATTACGTGTAAGAAAAGAACATTTTCCAAAAGTTTGGGGTGGCAGCTGAAAACTTAACATCAGCCTACGTATATCGGGGATCTACGGAAAGCTTGCGGCACGCACGGTGCGAATTGTTTTAACTTACTTGGCTCAACTTTTTATTCCACGCACCGCGGCACTAATGGCACCCCCCAGAGTGTCGTTGGACCAAAGGGGTTGGGTACCTCGGATAAGGGGTTCCGATACTCATACACAAGTGTCCAACAGCGGCTAAAGTTCTAGCACTTAAAATAAATTACCGAAACCTATCTAAAAACAACAACAGAAATTTGATTAAAAAAACTAAAAACATGATATTCTGTTACTAAACTATTACTATCATAAAAACTTATTTTCAAATAACTTTGCAGAAGTTAATAATAATTCTACACTTCAAGAGTAAATCAAAGTTATTTAATTTTAATTTCTTTAAGTATTAAGAAATCTAAGGCTTTTTGGTTTTTGAATTCAAGAAAATAAAATTTGTAAACCAATTTTACTTAAGGATATTCGTGTTTAATAGCCAGGAATGTTAAATTTACAAAAAAAATGTAGATAAACAAATTTATTAAAATGTTTACCTGCCACTTTTAAAAATTTGTGATAAAGAACTGCTACTATTTTAACTATACTACTATTTTAACGGCCACTGTACGTACGCACTCTAACTCTCGCAGCTGAAGGAAATGTGGAGCAATAGCGTCAAGTGCACGCAGTCTGCTGCACTACATCGGGGATGAGGACGCCTGGGTGGCAGGCTGGAGAAGCTTTATGTTCCAATATGTGGTAATATAGGCCAGACGTCGTGGGTCGGCCAGAACACCTACGCGCATTGGTGTCACCTACTGAACTGAACACTGAATTCAGAGCGCTGAGCGCCGAGAATCAAACGCCTAAAAAGGAACTCTCGAGCAATAGTGATGATAAAATATTTAAAATAGTTGAAGTAAACGAGAAAATATATGCAAAAATAATCAAGAGACAGAGTTTTCGAGAAAATTTTTAGAGAGAATTTTAATTGAAAAATAAATAATGTCATACAATCACAAGAAAACAAACCCTTCTGAATATAAATAATCAATGTATAACTTTAAAACTTCTAACTTTTAAACTATAAAAAGGTATAAATAAATATTTTTTAATTTTTGTCCAGAAATATATTATTTCAGGGAACTTACAATAAATTTTTTAATTTTCTGTGCTTTTCAACTATGTATTCTTTGTTAACTTTCTATTATAGAGGTTTTTGGTTAATCTTAAACTATTTTTTTAACTTGACAGTAATAAAACTTTCCTAAAACATTAATTTTGCATGACTTAAAGCCAAATTGGCAGACCTGCTGACCAGAATGCTTGGCGTATCAGGCAAAGTAATCTCTGCTCTGGAACGCTTTTACAGCGCCGCGCTCAGGGGCTGTTAATGAGTCAAGATATGATGCATTTGCAAGTGTGTGGTGAGCGAGAACATGTGTGGGTGTATGTGAGTGGGAGCGACGGTGTGTTGGTGTGTGTGGGTGTCCTAAGTGCGTTGCACTATGGGGAATTTGCCCGATTTTTTGGAATAAATGTATTTTTTAAAAGTGTGCCGATTTCCTTTTTTTTTTTTGTAATGTATTAAGAAAACATCAAGCTGTTTGGTAACATACCGCAAATGTTAACTTAAAAGTCTAGTATTTAAATGCCAACTGTTAAAGTCAGCTGTTGCAAGCGCACATGGTTTGTTTACATTTTGCTTAACTTTGAAGCTCACTTTCAAATCATTATCTCTGCAACAAAATGACGTAAGACAGTCAAATTTGAAATTATTACCAATTCTCAATGTATGTTCTGTGTAAAAATACTTATACATTGCTTAATATGTGCGTCCAATTTTAACAATTTGTAAATGTAGCAGGTGATGTTTTCGTTTGGGTTTTGGAAAGAAAGTTAAACTTTCAATAGAGTTTTACAAAAATGTTTAACTTTGTTCAGTAAGTGTCTTTATCCATGTTGTAGAGTGATTAATTGCGAATTCAGAACATATTGTCTCATCGTGCGCTTCGTGCGACTTTTCGCGTAATTTCATTTTTAAGAAACCAATTTCTTGAGCAGCCCTGCTGGAAGTTTTGCATAAGCAAAAGGGTCTTCGAGAAAAAAAAAATGGCGAATTCACTTTTGTTAGCAAGCAAGTTGATCCCACAGTGGAATCTCCAACTTTACAGATGTTTTTCAGAGAGCCGTGGTTACTTCAGACCCCATCATTTCATCAATGAATTTGAAGAAGCGCGTCCGAAAACATGAGCTGCTTGCTCTTTCACCAAAAGTCATTTAATTGTAATTATGCGAATATGAACCTGGAGACGAGTCTCTAGATGTTGATAATTATGAAAAAGAAAACGACTATGATTTTTTTAAATTAAAAATTAAGAGCATATAGAGCTAAATTTGTTATAAAAAATATAAAAAATTGGGTTTGGGGGGGGGTATACTTTCACTTTTCCAACAGGTGTGTATAGGTATGTAGAACACTATAAAAAAAACCTCACTGAAATATGTTACATAGTTCGCGAGTTATTAATTTATTCCAAAAAATCGGGCAAATTCCCCATAGTGCGTTGGCGTCAAGTTGAAAGCCGCTAGACGGCAACAATGGCGGCGAGCAACAACAAACGCCGTCGGTTTTTGTTGCCTACTTTTGTGCGCCGCTGAGATTGAGAGTTCTGGGCTCAGAAATATACATACTCACATTTTGTACATATGCACATCTATTTTAATGACTAGTGATGAGGCTCTTAACATGAGGAAGTAGTGAAAGCTGAGCCAACAATTATCAAATTTCACGGTCACTGGTTTAGTGTGCAAAGCTTCCCCATATCATTATTTTTATGAAAATTAAGACAGAGTTAAAACATATTTATAACCCCATTGTTTTTAATGTAAATTTTTTAGAACAAATTTAAGCT